GGATCTGATAACTCGGATTAATATCGAGTTAAAATTTAACTAGTTCGAGTTATGCAAACGCAACTCGATTAATAGAAAGTAATCTTTGAATAAATTTATTTTTTATTTGTATAGAGGAAAATGGAAACTCACATAATGGAAGTGAGCACAGAGGTTTTTAAATTTATGGAAATCAATTGAATACTGTGATATAATTAAAAGTGGCATCTAACTACGGTATACAATAATATTACCGCCAAATAGTTTTATAAATAAAATAGGTACTTATGTCATTGTAGGTCTAGGAATTTTTCATTTTAATATTTAACAATAGTTCTGAAAAAATAACAACTAGGTAAGTTAGTTTTATTGCTATTAGTTGTTTGTTGAACTTACAACAACAAAACTACATCAAGTTTCAATAATATTTTTATATTATGTATGGTGAATGGATGAATAGAGTTTATTAATCAAAAACAAAAGTCATAAAAACGATAATTATTATAAAAAAATCCGTTTATTATCTATAAACTTACCCGATATGTATCAAATATACTATGTATTCGTACAAAATAACATAACTGCTGGCTAAAATGACGTTTGTGCAAAGTGTAACGTGCAAATAACTTGTGCTTTCGAAATTAAGACATTATAAAACTATTATCAGTTATTAAATCTTATATTCATAATTAAATCATCTTAATAATATTTTTAAACTCACACGATTTGTATACATTATAATTATATGCAATCGGGTCTTGTTCGTGCATTTTTTTTAAAACAATTAATTTACCTCGACGTTTCGGCTACGTTACAGCAGCCGTGGTCACGAGGAGACTGGAGAACTGGCGGGTGTCGTCTTCTGATTTTAGTTGAGGGTAATCCGGTAATAATGTTTTTAACTGATTTTCAGATGTACCCTCCACTTGATTTTATTATACGTAAAGGTGGCGACACACTGCACTTACGGTATCCGAGAATATTGTTCGTGGTTGTTTGCGATCGCGACACTTATACATTTTTATAACCGGATTCCACGTTGGTGAGAGTTTATATCCACTTTCCCGGTTGAAATTGTTGTGTTTTTTGATTTCAACCGCTTCACGAACAATCCTTGGATAGTAATGTCGTTCAGTGGAAAGGACATGAGGTGTATGTAACTCGATCCAGTGGTTTGATCCAGATGATAATAAGTGCTCTGCAATCGCGGACTTCTCCACTTGACGATTTTTGACCGCTGCTATGTGTTCTCTTACACGTTCGGCGATAGTCCGCTTCGTTTGTCCGATATATGAACTACCGCAGCTGCAGTCAATTTTATAAACGCCAGGTTTTTGGTAAGGAGTACTATCCTTTGGTGATCGCAATTGGTGTGACATTTTTGATAAAGGAGTAAAAATGGTGTCTATAGAAAAATTTTTCCTCAAAATGGAACCGATTTTGTCCGTTACTCCCTTAACATAGCCTAAAAATGCCCGTTGCCTGGGAACCTTAGGTAGTCTTTCCTTACACCTTCGGATAGGGTGTAAGAGAACACATAGCAGCGGTCAAAAATCGTCAAGTGGAGAAGTCCGCGATTGCAGAGCACTTATTATCATCTGGATCAAACCACTGGATCGAGTTACATACACCTCATGTCCTTTCCACTGAACGACATTACTATCCAAGGATTGTTCGTGAAGCGGTTGAAATCAAAAAACACAACAATTTCAACCGGGAAAGTGGATATAAACTCTCACCAACGTGGAATCCGGTTATAAAAATGTATAAGTGTCGCGATCGCAAACAACCACGAACAATATTCTCGGATACCGTAAGTGCAGTGTGTCGCCACCTTTACGTATAATAAAATCAAGTGGAGGGTACATCTGAAAATCAGTTAAAAACATTATTACCGGATTACCCTCAACTAAAATCAGAAGACGACACCCGCCAGTTCTCCAGTCTCCTCGTGACCACGGCTGCTGTAACGTAGCCGAAACGTCGAGGTAAATTAATTGTTTTAAAAAAAATGCACGAACAAGACCCGATTGCATATAATTATAATAAATCATCTTAATAAACAATCAGCAATCAACAAGAAACGTCTGCTCTAAACGAACAGCAAGGTTATAACTTTAAATTTCAAATCACAAAGTCATTATACTATTGCTACTGATCTTACATGTCGACGGCGGACGTCAAGCCATGTGTTAAGTTAATTCGTACGGTGGGTTTGTGCTTTTTGGTTCTTACAATAATATTGTTTATAATAGTTTGACAACCTACACTAGAAATCCGTTTTCTTGAAATATATTATTTACTAAGTACCTAGAGTAGTTATGGTCTCTTAAAATCTCTGTGGTGGTATCGTGTGCGTTAGGAGGTTACGTTCCGTCAAATATAGTATAGTTGAGTTGTTTAGTTGAAATTAAAAAAGCAGCCCTTGCTGAGTTTCTTGCCGTTTCTTGTCAGTACGAGATCTCCCGCGTTAGTTTTGCGAACCATTGGTAAAGTTTTCGACTTTCACAAGTACTATGTAACAGCCTAGACTGAATTGATTTTGATATTTATGTTAATATCATTCGTTTTGTGGATGCATAATGACACTTCATCTTCATCATCATTTTTGTTCTCCATTCCAAACCTGAATTCAACGAAAGTTACGAGCAACCAATAAGTTGGCTCATCACTAATGTTGACGTATCAATCAAACATCGTTCCTTTACACGTAACATAATAAACAACTTAAACTTACAATTAAAATAAATTCAAATTAGTTTGAAAGTGAGATATTATAAGAAACACAAAACGATGTCATATTTATTAATCGAAAATACTCAATTTACATTTATTACGTCAGAAATAAAATTTGAATGAATATTATAAACAAAATCCAAAAATCGCGAGTAACATCTAGTATGATTTCAAGAACTAATTTTTATTTTTTAAATACTTCCTCATTGAAGGTATTTATAATAAACTAGTGGCGTCCAGTCTGACCCATATATGCAGCTACTAATACTAGGTTTACTAGCTGTAATAAGTATTTTAATCAAATCAACACGAGTCTTAAATAATACTAAGCAAATTGCACCTAGTATCAAAACCTAATGAGGAAGTATTTAAAAAAAATAAAGAAAGTACAAAAATTTATGTCACTAGATGGCAGCACAAATAGTTGGATCTAAACGTCAATTCATGACGTTAAACCAAAGAGAATAGAATTGTCAGTGATGTTATGGATCTGGTAACTCGGATTAATATCGAGTTGAAATTTAATTAGTTTGAGTTATGCAAACGCAGATCGATTAATACGAATTAATCTTTGAATTTATTATTCTTTTTTATTTGTATAGAGGAAAATGAAAACTAATATAACGGAAGTGAGCACAAAGGTTTTTTTTAATTTATGGAAATCAATTGAATGAATGCTGTGATATAATTAAAAGTGGCATTTAGCTATGGTATACAATAATATTATCGCCAAATAATTTTTATAAATAAAATACTTATGCCATAATAGGTCTAGGAATTTTTCATTTTAATATTTAACAAAAGTTCTGAAAACAATAACAACTAGTAAGTTAGTTTTATTGCTATTAGTTATTTGTTGAACTTATAAAAACAAAACTACATCAAGTCCCAATAATATTTTTATATTATGTATGGTGAATAAATGAATAGGGTTTATTAATAAGCAACAAAAGTCATAAAAACGATAATTATAATAAAAAATCCGTTTATTATCTATATCCTTACCCGATATGTATCAAAACGTGACTTCTGGCTAAAATGACGTTTATGCAAAGTGGAGCGTGCAAATAACTTGTGTTTTCGAAATTGAGACTTAAAAAAACTATGATCAGTTATTAAATCTTATATTGATAATTAAATCATCTTAATAAACATTCAGCAATCAACAAGAAACGTCTGTTCTTAACGAATAGCAGGGTTATAACTTTAAATTTCAAAATCACAAAGACAATACAGTTATTATACTATTGCTACTGATCTTGCATGTCGACAGCGGACGTCGACCCATGTTTTAAGTTCATTCGTACAGCACATACCCAATGTCCTTTTTGGTTCTTACAATAATATTGTTAATAATAATTCGGTTTGTGGATGCATAATGACACATACAAATAAATACAAGCTGAATTCTGCGCTCCGATTTTTGTTCTTCATTCCAAACCTGAATTCGGATGCAAGTTACGAGCAACCAATAAGTTGGCTCATCACTAATGTTGACGTATCAACCAAACATCGCTCCTTTACACATAACATAATAAACAACTTAAACTTACGATTAAAATTAATTTGAAAGTTCGATATTATAAGAAACACAAAACGATTATTAATATTCGATACTCAATTTACTTTTTTAACGTCAGAACCAAAATTTGAATGAATATCATAAACAAAATCCAAAACTCACGAGTGACATCTAGTATGATTTCAAGAACTAATTTTTATTTTTTAAATACTTCCTCATTAAAACAACACGAATTTGAAGGTGGCAACACTGACACCGGAAAGAATGAGACTAACTGAATGAGTGAATGGTATTGAATGAATGACTATCGGATTCATTGTGTTTCTCATACATTGCAAGCTTGTCGCGTCCTTCGAAGTGATTGTTGTTTGTGCAATGAACTTTTCAGTGACTTTCGAAGTGAATTATAACTTTTTTGTGCGTGGCAAATATAAAGTTTTATGATGGATTTTATAGTGAAAACGTTATTTCACATGCATGTTCATAGAACAGTAGATAAATAACACGTTCAACATAATATAACCGCCACACAAAGTTGAGTGAACTTGTGGCTAACTCTACTTTGTCCATAGTTTGGCTGTTAAAAACCGTGGATTCCTACAGGTGTATACTGAATGTTGTGAAAGGACGAATCCTAGCAACGACTCCTGAATGAGCATTTTATTTACTGTAACCTAGTTTACAACATGTAATACAAAATAACCGAGAAATGTGGAGTTTTGTTGGATATGTACAGAAGACAGCTTATTGAAAATACTATGTCATGGAAGAACTCGAAAGGTTGTTAAAAATGAATCCAAACAACATCTTTATAGTATTCGTTCTTTACGCGATTATCGTTGACATCAGTTTATCTGCAGATAGCTCTGGTAAGATTTTTATTAAATTAAAAAAGTATTTTATGCATGCATTATTTATCGAACTAAAATAGTATAAATATTTAGTTTTCAATTTGTCATAGAATAAAACTTTTAAGACAGTTAAGGAACTGTTATTATCCCGTTTCTAAAAACCATTAGTGTCCCGTAAATAATGGAAGGCTGGCAGTGTCCCGTAAATCTGTCAAATTTCCCCACTTGATTTAAAACTGTAATATATTGAGAGTAGTGGTCAAAATCCATTGCATTGATTTACCTGACATGCATCCATGTGTCATCACCATCACCTATATCAAACTTCAATCTATGTCAGACATACAATCAACAGCACGTCAGTTTATACAACCTGTTAAATTTCCCCATCCTATTTTAAACCTTAATACTTAGATGGTAGAGGTCAATATCAATTGCAGAAATTCTACATATTGCAAACTGACATGCAGCTATGTGTTTCTTATTTTAACACCACACAATTCTAACAGAATAGTATCTAGCTAATGCAGTTCTCCTTATAAACCATTTTCTATCTCAATAATTTATTAAATACATCCATAATATAATTAACGAACCTCTATACCCTAGTGATTTCAATGCCATTTTTACAGTGCTCTATCTCTGAAACCCTGACTTTCATTCCCAGTAGAGTAAAATTTGCCTCATAAAAAAATATTGCCTCAGATTGTGTTGGCACCATCATTATTAAACTACTTATGCAAATTAACATGACATCTGATGGCCTACTCTATTACTCAGAAAATGAAAATTCATAAATTTCCAAAATGCTAATACAACCCCAAAGAAACACAATTTCTGATAATTTATAATGGGACACATGATTTTAACAAAATTAAGAATTTGGAATTGTCTAAATTTTCGTTTGAGGACAAATAGAATAGGGCCTCAGGTGTCTTGTTAATTCATTCAAGTGTAAGATAAATATATAATTACTTATGTTGAAATCTGAACAGTGTATCTGTTGTTGACTAATATTTATTTAATATTAGTAGTAATATAATAAATTTAATAAGAAGTGCAAGCCTTCATCTTTGTAGTAATTGTCACCTGCTAAATGTCTGATAGAAAGTTTTGCCTAAACAAAAACACTATATTCATTAAGTTTTAGAAATAATCCTATTAGTTTCTGTAGATGTAATACACAGAGCGGTAAGGAAGAAAGGAAAAGAATTTGCTCAGACCTAAACATTAGTTGAATTTGCAGTGTCCAGTTAAGACTCATACAGTCACTCAGATGTTCAATCTGCTTAGCTTCAATGAGAAACGTAACGTGATTCAATCCCGGCTTTTAGTGTCAATATTTTTATGTTGAAGATCACCCTTTAAAATTTTCATCACACGGTTCACTCCCAAATTGCACCCGGCAATGACTGCTTTCCCTATTAATAAAAATGTAGCCATCACATGCTACATTTTCAAATGATCACTGTGAAAAGTCTTAGTAATAGGGTCCCCTTTCTATCCTTTGGGTACAGAACCCTAACAAGATTGTCACCATGTATGTGCATGTGTAGGACTAATAATTTATCACTAATTGATGATAATGTTGTTTTGTGACATCACCGTCGTCGTATCTTCCTAAAGCAATAATGACATTTCCGATTTTTCGTGAAAAACAATGTCATAGTGATTATCATTTTCCCGACTCAGTTTCGCACAATAGTTAATTATCCCTATAGACGAAATTACTTTAATTAGTCGTCAGCTTTTTCGGCCGTTTCTATTCAATTAATCTGTATTAGCACTGAACAATCGTGTTATTATTAATTAATTTTTCTATTTTACTTTATTGTCGCCTTTTTTTATATAATTACCACGTAGGAGAACTTATACAAACAACATTTTATTAATGCACATTTTAAACTCTAATGCATTAAAAGGCAGAGTTGCCTGTCGATATAAAATCTACGAAATTAGGCAAAATTATCGGACCCTTCAGCCCCAGTGACATCAAAAATAAATCCGCCTATGGTGCTTACCTCGATTACTCCAAAGCCGAATAAAATATTTGCTTTTAAATTATTGTAATCGAAATTCTATGATCGCTTTATTAATAACTAGCTGACCCGACAGACTTCGTCCTGTCAAAAAGATTTGTAATGTGGCAGTTTTTTTGCCTACGTATTTAAAAAAATTCTGATGCATTTTATCTCGCGTGCCGAAACTAATACAAAAGAAACGCGAGTTTCGGAACGCGACATTAAACTCCTCCAACTATGTATTCTGTGCTCCAACGCACACACGCACATTGTTTTGATAGATATGATCTTTGACGTTAGGAACACACCTACATTGCTTAGACAACAGTGAGTGCTTGTAATTTAATATGAACTTTATACCATAGCAATAAAGCTCAAATTGACTACGTTTTAGTTACAAATCATTTGTATGGGAAAAAGAAAAGGGCTATTTTTAGGGTTTTTCCAGCAATAATTCTAATTTTTCTCGCCGTAAAAACCATCCTTGAACTTCAACAAACATTTTAAAAAAAGATTTGGCCAAATTGGTCGAGGCGTTGTTGAATTATGCGCTTACCAACACATTTTGCGATTCATTTTTATATTATAGATAGCAATGTTTCTATAAACGTTTTCATAGTCTTAACATTACCTGTTGAATTTTTAAATTAAAAACTTTTATTTAAACCACCGTTTCCTAACCTCGCAACCAAAGATATTTGACGAGATTTTTTAAAAGGTGCCTGATATTATTTTATTAACACTGGTAATTAAATATATATTGGGACGCCAGCTATAAAGGTTCAGAACCACTGATCTAAATTAGCAAACAGCGATTGCATATGTCTTACAATGAAACTGGAGCGGCCGTAAAAGTTCAGGAATACTGTTTATAATAGCTGCCTCACAATTACGAGAATTAATTAAAGGAAAATGTAGTATATTTTCTATGTCTATGTCATGAAAGAAACTCCCTCCAAAACGTTTTTAACTTAAAAAAAAACCCTTAAAAGAGTCTTCTTTTCTAAAAAGAGACAAATACCCCGTAACGAGTTGGCGGACTAAAGACGTCATCGCCTTCAAAGTTTTCTCGGTGTGCACAATGGAAAGTATCGGCTCATCGTGCGGACACGAAAGTTACCACCGGCACTGTTCTCAACCTATACCATTACCGATGCACCATTTTTTCGAAAGAGCAGCCCTGCCATAATGTAATCACGACATTAGCTTCATATTCATAATCACACGGTAAGCCTGTAGGACGGGCGAAAACTTCACATTAACAATGGCATCGTTTTCCTCATAATGAAAACTAATATGAAAAAAAAATGTAAAGCGAGTTCTTTTTGTCAACCATATTTTATGTCTGTGGCGACCCTTGAAACTGCCGCCCGGGGCATTTGCACCGGTTTGCCCTCCTTTAATCGGGGTTCACTGTTTGATCTCGCAATATATTACCATGTTAGCAGCAATAGTGACATGCATTCTGAAAATATCAAGGGTAATCCATATTGATTTTTTTACGGTTAATCCTATGACAGACAGACTGATGGACAAACAGAAAGACAGTGGAGACGTATTGGACCATGTTGGCAAGCATTAGATGCGGAGCCTAAAACTAAAAACATTATTTGTCTTTTTTATTACGTATTCCAAGTCAACCAGATCTCTAAATATGTGGTTTTTATTATTTCTATTTATGTACTCAACGAAGAACATCCAAGTTTATTATTAACGTTGATGGTTAAATTACTGGAAACACCATTAAAACACTTTAAGAACAAAGAAATCTCATATAAACAAGCGACACGGTTAAAATAAATAGATCTGAAGTATTAAGTCCTAAATTGGATTAAGCAAATGTTAGCAGCGTCACATACCAATAATTTTCCGATCGAATTTGAACTCTACTTGCAACGAATTCAAGGTTAAAAACTATTAGAGAAATGGTAGTTCTGGCTAGCCTGAGGTTCTTTTTCCTACATGTTTCGTGACATGCGTAACTAGTTTTTTGTTGCTCTTGTTTGGGGACGATTTTATGATAGATTACTTCAGAAGTTTGCTCTATGACAGAGACTTATAACTTACATTTATGAATTAATAACAACTCCGTAGTTCTTTATCTTTCCTGATCCTAAGTATGTATTAGATAATTAGTACAATATCCCACACAAGTAACCAAGTATCAAAAACAACTAAACTTCCCTGTATTATATAAACACTTCTTGGCGGTAAAACAACTCAATCAAGGACTTTAACGAACTTCGCTAACTTAAAGTGGTACTAAAATATTCAATGACGAATTAACGTCAAAACTCGTAATTTGCTTGTGCATACGGAGGTAGTTAACTTTCATCAATTATTCACAAAACCGTTGAATAGTGTTGGTTTAAAACCGTACAATTGGTGGCATAATCTTGATGACTGATTTATAGTTTAATGACGGCACTTCACTTTACTATTCGCAAAAAGTTTGTGCCATTCGATTTCGTGTTTGCGTATTTGTCATATTTAACAAAATATTGGTTGGTTTTTTGACCTTTCCGTTCAAAACGTACGTCCAATTCTCATAATGTTCAGTTCCCAAAATTTCCAATCTAGTATCGTTTTGTTGAATACAGTGATTAATAATATGTAGCATGCTAGTTGAATAGGTCCTCAAAGCCTGTCTTAAACATAATAAACCTTAACAACATTTCTACATATCATATTCTATTATCTGTATTCAAAAACCTTTCAAGACTTTTCTGGTATTGGACATTTCGAGAATTGCAAAATTCTGAACCAAAAGGCTAATTAGGACAACCAAAAACACTTGTTAGCTTCTTGCCAATATTCAGGTGAAGTGACACCATAAGATATCACCTTGTAATAAATACAACGACTGTGTATGTAGCGTATGATATAAGCACGCGTTGACAGAAATGCATTCACAAGCACGCACGCAAAAGTGCAGCGCCTTTTAAAGTGCTTGGTGCTTAGTACCGCGGTATTGTTTACCTCTTGTTATTCTATATT